TGGGAATTTGTAAGTGTACATCGTGTTTTGACTTGAAGCTATCCTGTCAGAGGCGGCTGCTGGCATGGATAAGCCCTGCCCCGACTTTTCTAGCTGCTTTCATGCCACCTAGTAGGAGCCTGGGCCGGCTGCATTTCTTCCAGGGCTCTGGTAATTGATAGTGACAGTCCCCCTGGTCTGTATTTCACACTGACATCATGGCATGCATTCTTAGAAAATGAATGGCCACACAGAGTTGAACAGACTTCCACTGTTCGAAGGCATTTGACGGATCAGAGATCTTTATCCGCGCCCTTCTGCAGTCACGCTCAAAAACCATATCAACAATTAAACTTGCAACGTTTCTGTTCTGTCCTGGAGCTGGTTCACATTGAACAGATTCACTCATCCGTTTTTACTATCGGTAGAAAATCTTGGTAGTTGGTGTTACAACTGCTATAATGCATAGGTGTAGGTTGGTGAAGAAAGCTGTTGTAGATGTTTGTTTTCACAAAATATTTAAGACTTGTGGCTTCAAAATTGAATACTTATTGTTTTGAATTTGATAGCAGTAGATGCTTGTATGACTTGTTGATTTAATAGAACATCTACTTTGCTTAAAGTGATGTAAGAGAAGGTAACTTTCAGCAGTTTTTGATTATTTGCAGAAACACAATAAATGGAATACTTATTGTTTTGAATTTGATAGCAGTAGATGCTTGTATGGCTTGTTGATTTAATAGAAAATGTACTTGGCTTAAAGTGACGTAATATAAGGGAACTTTCAGCAGTTTTTGAATATTTACAGAAACACAACATTGGCCCGATGACAAGTTACTAATGGAATTGGCGTTGGTGACAGCTGTAGTGGTCACACACATTTGGCATTTAAGACTCTGAAAGTGACTCTCAGCAGAGGCTAAAATGGCCTTCTTGAGAGTTTTGAACACTGCTAATTAGAAAAGAAATGGAGCTGATGGAGTCTTCATCGCTCGAGTTGAGTGAGCTTTACTGTCCTGTGTTGAAACAGAGTGAGTGGCCCCTGGACCCGATAATGTCCCGACTCTCTGGACTCTCAAACGCAGTGAAATGAAGGAGAGTGGTGCTGCACACGCAGGCAAAGGTCGACACAGACTTCAGTGGAGAACGAAACAATTGGACGTTGCAGTGAGAATAACCTTTTTTTTGTTTCGTCTTCGTCTTCTCACAGACTCCATGAAGAGGTGATGGACTTCTACAACTTCATGTCTCCGCAGCCCGAGGAGGCCGCTATGAGGAAGGAGGTGGTCAACCGGATAGAGATGATCATCAAGGAGCTGTGGCCCACTGCGGATGTAAGACGCCTAACCTTCCCTCCTCTGCGTCAGCCGTCCTCTTTAGGAACTCCAGATCTTGTAGGGTTTTGGACTGACTGGTGTAGGGACGTCCCGATCCAGCTTTTTGATCCCGATACCGGCCTATCAGAGCATGTGTTAAAGTCTAAAGTTATTTATCTACTTACTTAGTTGTCAGACTCATGTTGAACAGGGATTTAGTCTGATAACAACTTAATGGTTAGGACACAGACCTGTGGTTACAGATGCTAATGCTAATGCTAATGCTCTGATAACAACTTAATGGTTAGGACACAGACCTGTGGGTTACAGATGCTAATGCTAATGCTAATACTCTGATAACATCTTAATGGTTAGGACACAGACCTGTGGTTACAGATGCTAATGCTAACGCTAATGGTCGTGTAGGATCGAATAAAAAAAAAAAATGGATCTGGATCCTGGATTGGCATTTTCTCCTGTCGTCCGAAATGCATTTTTTTTGCAAATATTGGCGGCCGATACGATATTTGCACAAACCTAGACTGGTGTGTCTAATTGTACAGTCCCATCTTGGAGGAAAAACTGTGGGAAACAGAGATATTAAATAGCCCATTTGGCGTTTGATACTGGTTGAAAAGTCATTCAGGAGAAGTAGGAGTCCAGATTTATACCAGACTTTATTTTTTATGTTACTTCAAGCCGACATTGTCCCTTTGATCGATATCAAAGAGGAATCAGTCTTTGAGGGGACGACCCATCCATCCCTTAGCAGGCTCATCTTCACATTTGTGCCAAGACAGTTTCGTTTTCTGAAAATATAAACGGCAAAAATCCATAAAAACGGGTATCCATCAGTGTGTTTTAAAACGGAGCACTTCCTCCTTAAGTGTGAAAATAGAGTAGAGCACTGTGGTGGGGGGGTGGGCAGGGTTCATCCCGCTCAATACTTCATCACGTAAAGCACGAGCGGGGGTGATTTGTCGGCTGTCAGCCTTCCCCACTTCCACTGTGAGCCGCGCTGTCAGGTAAATGGATCAAGCCTCTGATTTGCACCAGCCTTCCTTTTCATTTCGGTCTATTAATCCCGGCCTGTCCCCGCACCGTTGCCTCCCCGCCGTATTTAACAGACGGGGAGCGGAGAAAACTCCATTCTGCTTCCTTTGGAGACATTTGGCTTGCAGCACCAAAGCACTGCTTCGTTTTTTCTTTTTTTAAAAAAAAACCATTGTGTACTTATTTTGGCAGAATAGCCCACTTGGCAGCGTTTGCCGTCTCTGAAGCGGATTCCAGAAATACAGTGTTCATGGTAGTTTGCAAACATTTGAGCTTGATATATATACACCATTGCCACAAAGCAGTTTTTTCTCCTTTTCATTCTTTAAATAGGAGCACTAGTTAGTAAAGGATACAGCAAAGGGAGGTCAGAGTGTGATGCTTGTCTGCTGGGATTATCCTTAAAAGGTCAACATAATCCAGTCATTAAAGGTGAACATAATCCAGTCATTAAAGGTGAACATAATCCAGTCATTAAAGGTGAACATAATCCAGTCATTAAAGGTAAAAATAATCCAGTCGTTTTCATCGATGTCCTGCTTTGTGTTCCCAGGTCCAGATATTTGGCAGCTTCAGCACAGGGTTGTACCTTCCAACCAGGTAAGCTTTGGCCTTTCCAAGTAAACAGATAAATGCAAGCTATCATCAGTTGATGCAGAAAAATTCAAGTTGTAATAAATTGATGCGTTTGATTTTTCCCGGTTTTACAATGATGTTCTTTTCTTACCAA